CTGGGTGAAGCCCTCGTCTTTACCCACCGAGGACGGTGTGCGAACGAGGTGCCTGTTGTGTATACCTAAAAGTCACAAGGAGTCCCATACCTGCAGGTGTGGAGTGTAACAGGTGTGTTGAGATGGTGCTACTATGTATGATAACCGACGGTGCTATATTCCATACAGGTGGAGCAGTCTGACGTGTTAAGGGGTAGTGTAAGAAAGAATGACCGAGGTAAGGAGGTCACAGATTGTTATACAATAAGTATGTGGATGACACGCCATTAATGTAAGATGTCTGGTGCCGAGCAGGGTAACCAATATCTTCGTTATTCTTCTGAGGAAGGCCAATTCATTTGTATGTTTTTTTACCAGTATGTTTTATAAGGAATAAATTAATTAAGACATGTTATGGTTTCACCCTTCTTTCACCTTATCGATCTGGTCAATGAAAAACCTAACCCAATGCCTAGTCCACTCTGCACCCTACCTAACGAGTTACATGCTGTCCAGAGGGGGTCTGGTGGCAGCGACCCTTAGAAATTAAGATTAGAGCTAAGTATTCCCCCTTAGAAGTAGCGACCCCAGTCTGGCAGTATAGTGTTCACCTACCTGCTGTTGTCATGGTCACGGTGGCACGGCTGGTCTGTTTGAAACCTGATGATTCATATTATGCTCCACGCCCCCAAAACATGTGGATAACTGGTGAGTTACCTCTACAAAAAACGCGTTTTCTCTAGCTTAGGTGCTGTTCATTTTCTCTAACTTCCTGAAACCAACCTCTATATAAAGTAAATTTGAATTTGAAAGAGCACCTCTATTTTGCATCAACTTAGATATGTCTGGTTAGATTACAGATGAAGCATTCAAGAGCCTTTGTGATTGATGTTGAAAACTTCAACTGTATTTATTGTTAATGAAATTGTCAATATAAGTCAGGGTAGTTTAAATTTAACAAATTTATTGACAAAGCTTGGAGTACAGTTTGCCTGTTCTGAGTAATTCAATCAGGTCTTGACACTGAGGATGGTATCACTTCTCACTGCCATGCAGGACAGAGGTTCATAGACAAACAAACAAGTGATCCTGCCCTTCGTGCCCGGTGGCGAGTCCGGTGGTACAGTTTACCGAGGTTGTTATATTCATGGTCGTGGTTGTTAGAATCATAGGTGTGGTTATGATCATAGTCGTGGTTGTTATAATAATATTCGTGGTTGTTATAATCATGGTCGTGGTTGTTATAATCATAGTCGTGGTTTTTATAATCATGGTCGTGGTTATAATCATAGTCGTGGTTGTTATAATAATATTCGTGGTTGTTATAATCATGGTCGTGGTTGTTATAATCATGGGCGTGGTTGTTATAATCATGGTCGTGGTTATGATCATAGTCGTGGTTGTTATAATAATATTCGTGGTTGTTATAATCATGGTCGTGGTTGTTATAATCATAGTCGTGGTTTTTATAATCATGGTCGTGGTTATAATCATAGTCGTGGTTGTTATAATCATGGTCGTGGTTGTTATAGTCATGGTCGTGCTTATAATTATAGTCGTAGTTGTTATAATCATGGTCGTGGTTGTTATAATCATAGTCGTGGTTGTTATAATCATGGTCGTGGTTGTTATAATCATGGTCGTGGTTGTTATAATCATGGTCGTTGTTATAATCATGGTCGTAGTTGTTATAATCATGGTCGTGGTTGTTATAATCATGGTCGTTGTTATAATCATGGTCGTGGTTGTTATAATCATGGTCGTGGTTGTTATAATCATGGTCGTGGTTGTTATAATCATGGTCGTGGTTGTTATAATCATGGTCGTGGTTGTTATAATCATGTTCGTGGTTGTTATAATCATGGTCGTGGTTGTCATAATCATGGTCGTGTTATGATCATAGTCGTGGTTGTTATAATCATGGTCGTGGTTGTTATAATCATGGTCGTTGTTGCTATAATCATGGGCGTGGTTGTTATAATCATGGTCGTGGTTATGATCATAGTCGTGGTTGTTATAATAATATTCGTGGTTGTTATAATCATGGTCGTGGTTGTTATAATCATAGTCGTGGTTTTTATAATCATGGTCGTGGTTATAATCATAGTCGTGGTTGTTATAATCATGGTCGTGGTTGTTATAATCATGGTCGTGGTTGTTATAATCATGGTCGTGGTTGTTATAGTCATAGTGGTGGTTGTTATAATCATGGTCGTGGTTGTTATAATCATGGTCGTGGTTATGATCATAGTCGTGGTTGTTATAATCATGGTCGTGGTTGTTATAATTGTAGTGATGGGTTGTCAGACTACAGCTTACATCTCAGAAACAGTCCAGACCTGACCCGACATTAGGGGGGTTAAGTGTAAGGATATCCCTCGCGGCTGCTCAAGGGTGTTACAAATCAACCAGGCTCCCCTCCACATGTCACACGGCCCCAACAAATATGTAAGACACACAGTCAGAAGGAGCCACCTGCAGACCCTCCCCCAATTTACACAATAACCTACAACACATCTCAGACAAGGTCCAGATCTAGGGTATTTATAATATTGGCTCAAACCTTAAATACCCTAGATCTTTCATAGACAAATGCCTAAACATTACTAAGAAAACTTTTTATAGAACTGATCCCAAGCCCACCCATGACCATATGAATATCTTAATATTACCATTTCACAAAAATTTCTCACACATTCCTTCACAACTAAAAACCTGGAACGTCAATGTGGCATTTAAAAACTCATGCACTGTTAAACAAATGTTAATCAAGAACTCCCCCAACAACACAATTGGTTGCATTTATAAAGTTCCTTGCAAGGAATGTAATATGTTTTACTTAGGCCAGACAGGTAAAGATCTTATAACTAGAATTAAACAACACAAATACTGTGTTAGGACAGGCCAGGAATCCAATGCTCTGTTTGTTCATTTGAGGGATAACAAGCATTGCATTGACTGGGATAATGCCTCCTCAATATTACCATGTAATTCAATTGATAGTAGGAACATCATAGAATCTAGTCTTATTAAACATACCGAAGCATTCAACATGAATTTGAGTAACGGCATGTACAAGCTGGACAATTTTGTAATTAAGAAGATTTGTGACCAGGTGAGAAGGCCGGGTCACCTGACCATCTGACCTGACCACCAACCGTTGTGTGCTATTTAAAGATTAGTAGGGTCATTACCTAATACCTGACCATTGTGGACCTGGTCTCACCCTCCTCTGTATATATACACCTTGATTTGTATTTCTCTCTCTAGTCTGTACTCACCCCTGAAGATGTGAATTACACGAAAGCGCTTGGGAACTTCGTGTTTTCTTCTTTCCTTGTGGTTATCAGCATATATATATATATATATATATATATATATATATATATATATATATATATATATATATATATATATATATATATATATATATATATATATATATATATATATATATATATATATATATATATATATATATATATATATATTGTAACCGCCCAATGAGCGACTGTGGGACAATGAGACCCTTGCTCGTAGGACTCGATTGTTCTTTATTTGGTCAAAACCTGCAGAGTACAAATTACATATGTGACATATGAGATAATTAATTCATTCATACGTTCCTTCACTTTTAACAGTTACATATGACATATTTGAGTAGAGTAGGGTGTTAAACCATATAAAATCTTACATGTTTCGGGTCTGATGTAGGACTTATTAGCTCCCTGACTTGTTAGCTCATTGGACCGCTAGTTACTATCTTCTGAACCACATAGGGTGAGAGTCAGTTGGAGGCGAGGACCATCTGTTTCACATTTAACACCTCAGCAAAGTTCGTTGTCAACACTCTGTCTCTCTCCTGTCTCTCTTTCTCTCTCTCTATCGCTCTCTCTCTCTCTCTTCTCGTTTATCCTACTGTGGTGGTAACACTCCCCCTGTTGAGCTTGCTTGAAACCCATTGTCTGCCGGGAGTCTCACTCTCCTACTCCCTCCAATAGGCAGAGCTTTGTCACTGGACATATTAACACTGTGTCCTTCGTCTTCACTTTGGCACGCCGCACCAGGCCGTCATCACCCGGTACCGCCTCCAATACCCTTCCTAGCATCCATTTGCTCCTTGGGAGAGGATGTCCAGATTTGATGACGATGTCCCCAGTGCTTCTGTCGCCGCCGCAGTGTCGGGAGATATTCCTTCACCCACCTCTTCCAGGATTGGTCTGCAATGAATTGGGCATGCTTCCGTTTTCTTCTGTATGCTTCTGCTATGGACTGATCGTCTCCAGTGGGCAGGGTACCCGCGTGCATTCGCAGTAGGTGAATCGGCGTGAGTGCTTCTAGGTCTCTCGGGTCGTCAAATACTAGGGTGATGGGCCTCACTTTGACAATCTCTTCCACGGCACAGAACCGGGTGTTGAGTCTCTCGTTGCCTAGTACCTGTGTGCCTAACAGCCCCTGGAGAATCTTCTTCATCGTGCGGATCTGCGCTCCCATACTCCACCCATGTGAGAGGCAGTTGGAGGGTTGAACTCCCATTCTATTTGCCTCTCCAAGAGTGTGTTCCTAATAGTGTTACTGCTGTTCCACTTACTCACCGCCTTCCGAATTTCTCTGTTCGCTCCAATCATGTTGGTTCCATTGTCGGATCTAATGCACTTGGGAGGTCCTCTGCGAGATGTGAACCTCGTCATGGCGTTGAAGAATGAGTCTGTATTCAGTGAGGTGAGGACTTTCAGGCATATAGCTCAGGTGGCCAGACATGTAAACAAGCATCCCCATCCCTTCGCCAGGGCCGGGCCTTGTTTAACCATGAAAGGACCAAAGCAGCCGACTCCGGTGCAGGTGAATTGCCGATCTTCTGGATGTACCCGGTCCTCTAGCAGGTCAGCTTGGCGTTGGTGGGTAGGCTTCCAATTGCTTCTTCGACAAATTACACACGTACGTAGTACTCGGTCGATCAACTTACGGCACTTGGGTATCCAATTTGTCTCGCATAGTGCTGCTAGAGTGTGCTCGTGTCCTCAGTGGCCAGCTCTGGTCGAATGTACCTCTTGTACGATAAGTTCTGTGGTTTTCTCGTTCTCTCTGGGTAACAGTATGGGGTTCCTTTGGTCTGGATGAAGAGCAGCACGCTTCAGTCGGTCGCCTACTCTGATTAGGCCGTCTGCACCCAGGTAAGGTTCCAGGCTGCTTACGTCACCAGTCCTGACGGAGTATCCTCGCTCCAGCGCGTCCATCTCGTGGGGAAATCCCTTCCTTTGTATCAGGCTCAAGACAGCTAATCTTGCCTCATCCAACTCGCTGAACTTCAGTCGATCTTCTTGGTGACGTTCTTCCTTTGGATCGCTGAAGCGCCACTGTATGAACCTCCTGAGCCATGCCACACTTTTCAGTAGCTTATGCCATGAGGAGTACCTTGCCCATAGCCCTTTTAGGGTACTCTCCCCCTGGTCAGTGCTCATTGCCAGTACTGTTGCTTCTCCTTTTACCTCCGGGTCTCCATCTGCAAGGTTAGGAATCGGCTTTGGGTTCTTTGGCCATTATTTTATTATTTATTTATTTTTTAATTATTTTGTTTCCAACAAAAGAAAGGGAGGTCCCTGAATCCACCTGCAGTCCTAATTCTGCCCCATGCAGTCCACGGCTGGCATCATCAGCTGGGTTTTGGTTGGAGCTCACATGTCGCCATTGTTCTGCGTCACAATTCTCATGTATCTTTGCAATTTGGTTTGCCACAAAGGTATGGAAGCGCCGTTCTGTGTTTCGTATGTAGTGAAGGGTGACCATTCTGTTTGTCTAGAACACTGATCTGCCGATCTGCAGCTCTAGTTCTTATCTTAGTTGTTTGTCTGCTTTGGCTGCTAACACTGCCTCACATAGCTCGAGCCAGGTATGGTTTGCTGTTTCAGAGGAGCTACCTTGGCTCTGCCACACACAAAGGAGGTAGAGTGGGCTCCGTCTCCACTTGTGATCCTGAGGTAGGATACAGCCCTGTATGCTTGCTGGGAGACGTCGCAGAAGTGGTGCAGTTGTACCGTAGTTATTGGATTTGCACATTTAGGCTGGTAACATCGAGGGATGCATACTTGGGACAAGTGGTGAAGTTCATTTAGCCACTGCCGCCAAGCAGCTCTGTTGTGTTTGGTCATTTGCTCATCCCACCCAATAGTTGGTCGTCTGTCCACCACAGGAAGCGCAGGGCGTCTCAATGCTCAGGCAGTACTCATACCTGATGGAACATAGTCTCCACACAAACAAACAGACATACTTCTTATATATATATATATATATATATATATATATATATATATATATATATATATATATATATATATATATATATATATATATATATATATATATATATATATATATATATATATATATATATATATATATATATATATATATATATATGTGTGTGTGTAATAATAATAATAATAATAATTAACGGTTTATTGAAAGAGCTTGGCAGCCAGAAGGCTGAAAATATACAGTTACATATTTGGGGAATGGGTTACGAATTACAAATAATATACAAGTGACATAAGTGACACAAATAAGACATATAGTAACTTAGATGGGGATCAGCTCAAAATACAGTTCATTTCAACATAGTGACAGCGTAGGGAGCAGTGTTTACTGGGAGTGAATACACTGATTTATTACATGTTATTGATAATTTTTACAATGGTTGGGACTGGGCTGTTCTTATAGCGATCAGTTCGTGCACGTATGGGCTGGATGCGGTTGTGGTGTCGAACAGCAATTCTCGGACAGGGGATCTCAGGTGGTAGTAGGGGCCGGTGTCGGGGATGGTGTAGAAGCTTCTTACCAAATTTGCAGATGAGGCCGTGGTGATGGTCAGTGAGAGTCGAAAGGGTCAGTGTGTTGAGCGCTTCTTGATATGTGGAGTAGGAAGGGGAGAGAATAATCTTGCATGCCCTCTTTTGCACTTTTTCTAGGTGTTTACGTTGTGTGGCATTTAGGGAGGAAGACCAGGTGGGGGAGGCATAGGTGAGCTTGGGAAGTATGAATGTTGTGTATACACTGAGGAGCTCGTGTGCGGGAACTCCGAGGGACTTGAGTCGGCGGAGGAGGTGGAGACGGAAACTGGAGGATTTGACAACTTCACTGACGTGTGTGTGTGTGTGTGCAAGTAAATCACTGTTGGTGCGCGTGATCAAGTATATACTAATAACCACAGGGAAAACAGAAAACACAAAGTTTCCAAGCGCTTCCGTGTAATTCTCATCTTCAGGAGTGAGTACTGACCGTCACTATGGTTTATAGAATTAAATTCTCTAATCAAATTTGCTTTAACCAGAAATCTTTCTGTGACACATGATGATTTATACACTTCTAAGCTGTTTTCCCAATCTATGGGATGATTATTGTTCGTAACATGAACGAACAATGCACTGCTTTCAGATGCTGTTCTAATATTGTACTTGTGCTGTTTGATTCTGAGTTGCAATGCTTTCCCAGTCTGTCCTACATACTTTCCATTACAGTTGCTTCATGGAATGCAGTAAACACTTCCATTTCCATTCAAGTTTGGGCTAATCTTGATTAATATATTAGAAATGGTTGAGTCTTACTTAAAAACAGCACTAATATTTATTAATTTAAGGGACTGAGCTAACGGGATAAATTCATTGCGATAAGGTAGATTCAAAATATTCTTAAATGTAGGAATTTGCCTGGTTTGAGTAGAATGAAAGGATTTTTAGCCCTTTTAAAACAATGATCAACAAACAATGAAGGGTACCCAAGTTTTTATGCAATGGTTTGAATGTGTTTCAGTTCTTCATCAATAAATTCAGGGTCACAAATACACATACATCTCAAAAACATAGCAGAAAAATCTGACATTTTGGTAGATTCATGGTGACTCGATAAAAAATGCATGAGACTGTCTACCTGTGTAGACTTACTGTACACTTTAAATTTTTAGTTATGACCATTTCTAATAATAAGCATATCAAGAAATGGAAGGGATCCATTTATTTCTCTTTCAATTTTGAATGTAATACTAGGGACAAGATCATTAAGCTTGTCTAAAAATTCCAGTGGGTCACTGTTTCTAGGTCAAAGACAAAGAACATCATCTACATATCTATACCATGGATGAATAAAGTCCCCTTGTAATTCAGTTGCCTCTGAAGATGTCTTGAATAAAGACGAAATCCAAGGTGCTCCATTGTTTCCCTTTTTCCTGTGTGATTTTATCAAGATATATATATATATATATATATATATATATATATATATATATATATATATATATATATATATATATATATATATATATATATTGATAAAATCACACGGGGAAAAGGGAAACAATGGAGCACCTTACCTTTCGTCTTTATTCAAGATATCTTCAAGCAACTTACCCACGTTTTCATTAGGATTTACATGAAATATATATATATATATATATATATATATATATATATATATATATATATATATATATATATATATATATATATATATATATATATATATATATATATATATATATATAGGAACTACAAACGTTACAAAAATGTTAAGTTATAGGTTGTTAAATCAACAAAATTACGTTTCGGAATATCACTTATTATTCCATGAAAGAAGTAGAACTCCTGAAGTGTGTACCAAACGCAGCGAAGGAAAGGGAAAGCTATAAAGAGTAATGTGTTAAAACAGTGAGAAAACAGGTCCTGCTTAAGGTCGCCACACTGACAATGAGACCTTGAGACAACACCACCACCTCTCTCCTCTTTTTCAATAAACTAATATTTTATTCTACCCAATAGACCACTATCTTATACAATGCTGACGCACAAGTAATCTCAACCTATTAATATATTGATATGCGAAAGGATTAATCCCAGACCATCAACAACGATGAAGAATAAATTGTAAGAGTTTTGCAGTTGGTGGTTGATGATAAGTAGAAAGCCCGCCAAGTGAGATCAGGTTTAGGCGCGTGCTGGAGACTGTGAAGAACAGGAAGCGGCGCATCAGGAAGTTTGTCTGTCCTGTAGCCCTAAATACCCCCCCAGTACTTCCGATTCTCACAGATCTTCACTGGAAATTTTCTCTGTAAACTAAGAATAAGAAATAGCTTTGGTCTAAATATCCTTGTGCATCTGAGACTAACGTGTCCCACCGTCATCTATAAAGAACACCTGTGGAACTAAGCTTTAATTCGCCTATCGTTAGGTTGTCTCAGTTTGAATACCAGCGCCGCATTATTTTGTATATTGTATCACTGCACTCGGGGCCATAAATAAATAAATAAATAAATAAATATATATATATATATATATATATATATATATATATATATATATATATATATATATATATATATATATATATATATATATATATATATATGAACAGAAAAATATAGATATAAATCATTCAAATGATGCGTAATTATGTGATACAGCTTTTCCCTTGTTTAAAGGTAAATATCTTAAATGAACGTCGTCTGTAATAGTGACCGTACCTACTAAGGGTTAGGATAAATCAACCACTTAAGGTACACTCTTACGAGGAAATATTCGTCCGAAGACCCTATATGACTCCGGCACGGAGGCGAATCCGCCTTCACGAGGACAAACCTGACCTGCCCTAGGCGGGCGGCTGCTGGCCCTGAGTTGCTGTTGATGTCACTGCTGCTGCTGCTGTTGCTGCTGCTGCTTCCTACAGTACTGTACGCCTTGCTGCTGCTGCTGCTGCCTCCTGCAGTACTGTACACCTTGCTGCTGCTGCAATACTGTACACCTTGCTCATTCTGCTTCCTGCAGTGCTGCTGCTGCTGCTTCCTGCAGTACTGTACACCTTGCTGCTGCTGCTTCCTGCAGTACTGTACACCTTGCTGCTGCTGATGATGATGATGCTTCCGGCAGTACTGTACACCTTGCTGCTGCTTCCTGCAGTACTGTACACCTTGCTGCTGCTGATGATGATGATGCTTCCGGCAGTACTGTACACCTTGCTGCTGCTTCCTGCAGTACTGTACACCTTG